AAATCCATCCTGCTCCCAAACCCTCTGGAATGTGGCAGCTCCTTCATGAGCCGCAGCACCGTGGCTCGATCGATTTCCCTGGATTTTTCTCTTTCCCTGAGTTAATCTTTCCCTGGATTTCTCGCTTTCCCAACTCCGGTTAATTCCTTCCCATAAAATCCTCATTTCCTGCTGGAATCTTGCTTTTCTCCCACTTCTTCTTTTCCCTTTTTTATTTCCTTTCTGTTCCCAGTGCTTCCCCTCTGGGTGCGGATCTGCCGGGATCTTCCCGAGGCCGATCCCTACGGAAACCCCGCGGCAGGCTGGGATTTGGGCCGTGGGCTTCTCCCTGATCCCGGTTTTCCCGGTTTTTCCCGCTGCAGGGCAGAAGCAGGTGCGCGTCACCAGCCTCCTGCTGTGCCAGGGCTCGCTCTGGGTGGGGACGGATCTGGGAATCATCGTCCTGCTGCCCGTGCCGCGCCTGGAGGGCATCCCGAAAATCACCGGTGAGCCCCGCAGCCTTCCCGGGAAAATGGCGACCTTCCCGGGAAAACAGCGACGTTCCCACAAAACAGCGTTTTTCCCAAAAAAACCCAACACTGTTCCCAAAAATCAGCACCATTCCCAGCCCATTCCTGGCTTGTTCCCATCCACAACCCATTCCCAACCATTCCCATCTTATTTCCAGCTGATTCCCGTCCCAATTCCACTGTTCCCATTCCCAGCTCATTCCTGGGCTCATTCCCATCCTGATCCCACTGTTTCTGTTCCCAGCCCATTCCCAGCCCATTCCCATCCCAATCTTGCTGTTTGTGTTTTCCCAGCCCATTCCTAGGCTGTTTCCGTTTTCCTATCCTGCTACTTCCATTCTCATTCCCAGTTTTATTCCCACCCTGATCCTGCTGTTTCCATTCCCAGCCCATTCCCAGGTTCATTCTCATCCCGATCCCACTGTTTCTGTTCCCATCCCACTGTTTCTGTTCCCATCCCACTGTTTCTGTTCCCATCCCACTGTTTCTGTTCCCAGCCCATTTCTGGCCCATTCCCAGGCTCATTCCCATCCCAATCCCACTGTTTCCATTCCCAGCCCATTCCCAGGCTCATTCCCATCCTGATCCCACTGTTTCTGTTCCCATCCCACTGTTTCCATTCCCGTTCCCAGCCCATCCCAGCCGATCCTGCTGTTTCCGTTCCCATCCCGCTGTTTCCGTTCCCATCCCGCTGTTTCCGTTCCCATCCCGCTGTTTCCGTTCCCATCCCGCTGTTTCCGTTCCCATCCCACTGTTTCCGTTCCCATCCCGCTGTTTCCATTCCCATCCCGCTGTTTCCGTTCCCATTCCCAGGCTCATTCCCATCCTGCTGTTTCCGTTCCCATCCCGCCATTCCCGTTCCCGGCCCATTCCCATCCCGATCCCACTGTTTCTGTTCCCATCCCACTGTTTCCATTCCCATCCCACTGTTTCTGTTCCCATCCCGCTGTTCCTGTTCCCATCCTGCTGTTTCCATTCCCATCCTGCTATTCCCGTTCCCGGCCCATTCCCATCCCGATCCCACTGTTTCCATTCCCATCCCGCCATTCCCGTTCCTGTTCCCGGCCCATTCCCATCCCGATCCCGCTGTTTTCCAGGGAAGGGGATGGTGTCCCTGAACGGCCACGCCGGCCCCGTGCAGTTCCTGGCGCTGGCTCTGAGCCCTTTGGCCCCCGACGCCCTCCGCACCGAGCAGGACGAGCCCGACGAGCCCGAGGAGGAGAAATCCCCGGATCCGGAGGGGCTCCAGCCGCGGGAAATGCGGAAAAAAGGGATTTTGTTACAATACCGGCTGCGCTCCACGGCCCACCTGCCCGGCCAGCTGCTCTCCGTGCGGGAAGCGGCGCCGGGATCGCCGGGAACACCGGGACACGCCGAGGAGGACGGATCCATCTACGAGCTGGCCGACGATCCCGACGTGTGGGTGCGAAGCCGGCCCTGCTCCCGGGATTCTTCCCGCAAGGAAATCTCCTCCGTGGCCATCGTCTCCGGAGGCCGCGGCTACCGGGATTTCCGGGCGGAATCCGCGCGCCGCTCCGGAGCCGCCGACAGCTCCCTGCTCATCTGGCAGCTCCCGCTGGCGCTGTGAGCCTGCCCGGAATTCCCGAATTTCCTACCTCAGGAATGCCCCGAATTCCCGGGAGCGGCGCCGCCCTGGGCGCTTGAGCCGCTGCGAGGAAAAAAAAACTGGGAAAAACGTGGGAATCTCCCCCAGATCCGGCGGATCTGGAGTTGGGAGCGGCGGGGTTTTCCCGGTTTCCCTGCGTGTGCGTGTGTGTGCGTGTGCGTGGGTAATCCCTAGAGATAGAAATCCCTGGATTATAAATAGGCTGTAAATTATTACCTGTAAAAAGAAGGAATCTGTATATATTGGGAATGCCGGGAAGAGCGGGAGCAGCTCCCGAAAAAGCGGCTCCGGCTGCAATATCCACTCCTGTTCCCGACTGGGAATTTGAGGGTCTGGAATTCGAGGTACTGAAATCCCCTGGATTTGGGAGCCGAGCCTGCTCGGCTTCCCAAGGAAAGGAAAACAGGGGGAGTGTGGAAATAAATCCCATAGGAATGGCCGTGGTTTCCTTGGTTTGTGGCTTTGGGGCTTCTCTGGGATTTGGGGGCAGCATTCCAAGGGTTCTGCTTCCCCGGGAATGCTCTGGGAAGGGGCTTGGAGCAGCTGGGGATTGCAGGTTTCCAATGGAATAGGATGAGCTTCAAGGTGATTCCAGCCCATCCCAGAATTCTGGGATTCTGATGCACCCGCCCCCGCCCGGGGCTGCACATCCTAAAAATCAGGTAAAAACCCCCAGAATTTCCTCTTTTCCCACTGGGAATGGGGTGGGATGGAGGGAAAATCCACCCCTCGTTCCTCTACTTCCACCCTGTCCATTGACACTGGAAAAATCCCAGCCCAGGGAGCGGGGAACTCATCCCAGGGCTGGATCCATTCCCACCTGTAATGGGAATTCCATGGCGAGCATCCCTGTGATGGGATGGATATTCCTGAGCCCTGGAATGGGAGCTGCTGATGGATATTCCCTCCATCCTCATCCCAAACCTCTTAGGGATCTTCCGTCCTCATCCCAACCCTTTCAAGGATATTCCGTCTTCATCCCAACCGATATTCCATCCTCATCCCAACCGATATTCCCTCCTCATCCCAATCCTTTCAGGGATATTCCATCCTCATCCCAACCAATATTCCCTCCTCATCCCAATCCTTTCAGGGATATTCCATCCTCATCCCAATCCTTTCAGGGATATTCCATCTTCATCCCAACCGATATTCCTTCCTCATCCCAACCCTCTCAGGGATATTCCCCTCTCCTCATCCCAGACCTCTCAGGGATATTCCATCCTCATCCCAACCGATATTCCCTCCTCTTCCCAATCCTCTCAGGGATATTCCATCCTCATCCCAATCCTCTCAGGGATATTCCATCCTCATCCCAAACCTCTCAGGGATATTCCATCCTCATCCCAACCAATATTCCCTCCTCATCCCAATCCTTTCAGGGATATTCCATCCTCATCCCAATCCTCTCAGGGATATTCCATCCTCATCCCAACCCTCTCAGGGATATTCCCCTCTCCCCATCCCAGCTCTCACTCCATCCTTGGAACCCACGGAGCATCCGCCGCCCCCGCGGGGCCGATCCAGCTCCAGGGGCCGACACGATCCCAAAGAAAAGCGGATTTGCTGCTCCCGCTCTCTCTGAGCCGGATTGCCGGGGGCCAGCGGTGCTATTCCCACATTTCCCATTCCAGGCTGGGAATTGGGGTCAGGGGGTTGATTCCAGGGCAGGTCCCCGGGGGTGCCGTGTCCGACTCCGGCTGCGTCGCCCGCCTTGGGGACATCCGGTGGCATGGAGGGACACTCGGCGGCGTTTGACGCCTCACCCCGGCACGGCCCAGCTGCTCCGGGCGCCGGAGAGCTGGGAATGCTCCGGATCCAGGGATTTCGTGGTCTGGTTCCTGCGCACCAACACCGCAGCGGCCCCGGATAAAAATCACCGACGTTGGCTGCACTGGGGGCTGATTGACGAGCTCCGCAGGCGGCAGCGGCTCCCGGGAATTCCGCGGGATGAAGGGCTGGAAGTGGGACTTGTGACGGCTCATCCCGTTTGGAAGAACTTCCCAGGATTTCCAGTATGGGTAGATAGGGAGCAGAGCCAATTCCAGGGGAGAAGTGCAGGAATATTTCACCCCCAAGGTGGGCAGAGCTTCTGAGTATTCCATGGAAGGAGGGGTAAATCCATACTTT